TGAAACAGTTAATGCTGGTTCTGATAGGAAGGGGTCAGAACACACAGTGCAGTGCAGTTTGTTGGTATGAGACTGCAGAACATTAAGACCACCAGGGTGACCGGGTCAGAATGTTCTGGCTGATCGGTGTATATGATTTAACAATGTGCCAGTAAGATACAAAAAACGTGCCTAAGGAAAGATAACATATCATTGTTTGAAATTAAATCATGATGTATGTAGTCTGACTTTAGGATGTATAAAGAAGATGCTGTTCATGCACAACAGATAGACTGTAGATGTCGTTGTTTCCAAACAGAGATTATATTACCTGATGTTAACACATGGCTCTCTAAGATGAGGGTTACAACTGTGTGTTAGTATTGTTATTCACACAATTTGGGCTAGAAGTACAGAGCTCAATTCATTATCAGTGTGGAGGGGAGCAGTGCCAGTCTGCCTGTTGTGGGCTAATGTTTTGATTACTTTGTTATACACTGTTTAAAATATTTTTTGCACACCACATTCCTTTATTGCATACTTTACATAGTGTATATATTTTCATCTTCATAATATTTTCATTTTATTGTATTTTTACTCCTCTCTACTTTTTGCCCTAAATTGCACTGTGCTGTTTAAACTTGAATCAATAAGGGAACATCTGAATGCGTTACTTCCAGCCCGGCACAATATGAAATCTTACCACCGGTCCCGCTAGTTTGAGGAGTTGTATTATCTCATTCCGGTATTCTAACGGGATACAGCAGCCTCGGATGCGCTTCAGGCCAGAGCAGCAGCCGGAGCCGTGAACAGAAGGAGCCGGCTGAGCGGCTGTCAGGACTCCGACCCCCAACTCAGTGTCTGTGGTTGCTGGAGCAGCAGCGGGGCCGTCCATACCCGCGTTAAACGTACCGTCGTACCGTACCTGCAGATAAACCCCGTCCGCAGTCACAGGACATGTCTCACCAATGTCCGCACAACGTGTGTGCCAGCGGGGGGGACGCTGTGCTGTCCTCAGAAATAGACTCGCGCTTTCGGACCAAAACGGGTTGTGATCATGTAACGGATCTGACGTAGCTTGGCCTATATGTTATAATGTGATTCTGATAACAGAGCACGTGCTGGATGTCATGTAACAGTCTCTAACGGTGATGCTATATGTGGTCTTGTTCGGTAATCAGCGGTGTTTATATGCAACCATGCTTTACAGCCATAGACATACAACACGCTGCTTCCGTTCCTCATTGTTGTGGCGACGTCACGCTGACGGGCGACGGCAACATCACGAGACCAACGTGGTGCTGACTCACGTCCGGCGCCGCTGTGCTCTGAGCTCAACTTCCTTACTCACTGGAACATGTTCCCTGTTTTAAGTTTTAAAGTGCCCCTCCACTCAGACATGTTTCTCTTCTGGTTCTTCTTGTTTCACTGTGCAGAATGCAGTCTGTGCAGTTTGACACTAGAAGATGTTTTCACATTGATGTGCTGAAAGTGGAAAGTTTAGTGGGGAAGTTGCAGATTGCTACTAACTGAACACGGCTCGTGTCTTTATTTGACGACTGGGAATGGCCTGTGGAGTGTGCAGGAGAAACTGCAGTGGCTGCAAAACTCACAAAAATATGAAAGGCCCTATCTACAGTCAGTTTGTCCGTTCTGGGCTACTGTAGAACAATGGTGGTTCAATATGGCTGTGTCCATAGATGAGGACCTGCTCCCTCTGTAGATAAAAACGTCTCATTCTAAGGTAACGGAAATAATAATGGTTCTTGTGAAGACTGAGAGTGAAGGGAAGACTTAATTCACTTTCTTGGTATTTACTGTTGTTTTTGCAGAACACACTGAGAATACTCTAATGGTTAGACTGCTTCCATTTCAGCAGACGCAAAACATGTTAAGTTATGCAATACATTGCCTGTACATGCAAACAGGTGTATAATGTGTTGGAACTCAAGCTCTTTAGTGGTGAGCAGTGGCACCTTACAGTAAGGTTCTGGGTTCATTAGCCATCTGTGAGTTTGCACACTCTCTTTGTTAAACACACAGAAGGTAGTCAAAGCAATCTCAAGGTCATATTTAGAAGCTGTTCTGGAGCTTTCAGTAATATCACATGATCTTCGTTAGCAGGTAGAATGTACCCAGTTTATACTGTAGATTGTTTGAATGAACAATACTCTGGGAGAGCCACTGACAGTATAAAGTAAAAAAAAATTAAAGAATGTATTTATAGTATAGCATAGTAAGAGTGTAGAGAATGATGTATTGACTGCAGTCAGTGTCACTGGAGAAATGTGATGTGATGGATGTTTTAATGACTGACCATGACATACAGTCTGACTGTGTTCATAATGGACCATCCACAAAACTTTATAGGGTGTCATTTCATAGAAAAAGAGAGTAAAGAAGTGTAGCAATCAGCGTCTAATTGTTATGTCTTCATTGTTTTTTTGACGTCACATTGCAGAAATAAAAGAATTTGAACAGTTGAATAAATGAAGTTTCAGTAAAAATAGGCCTCACTGTAAACAGACTGTACTAATCTATTTTTGGTTTTGCAACACCACTTTTTAAAATACTTGTTAAAGGGGAACTTCGGCAGATTTTTACCCTAGTCTTGATCACTAGAAGTCCCCGAGTACTGTCGATAGAAAAAACACCAGAATTGGTTCTACAAACTGGAATCCTGCAGCTAACCAGAGCTCCCAGTTAAGTTATAATACACTTCTTGGGCATATCCTAAAATCGGACAGTAGGTTGAAGCATGGACATTGTGAGGGAAATAAACTTTTTTTCATCGCGAAGCATATCATCCGTATCGATTATCTGGCTTTCCGGTAAGCGATCGGTGAAAAAACAGGTAGGCAACAGTACTGTTTTTGTACGTTTCCTGCACAACGTATGAGGTTGAAAAGCATGCTTGGTTGTCACTAAGGGCCCTGATCATGTTTGCACAGACATTTAATTACATGTCGTGTCTGTTAAGAGAACTAAAAAGGCACCTTTAGGATATGCCCCAAGAAGTTATTAAACTAACTGGGAGCCTCTGGCATTAGCTGCAATCTCCAGTTTCTAGAACAATTCGGCTTCTTTTTCCTATCGACAGTACTCGGGGACCTCTAGTGATCAAGACTAGGGTAAAAATCTGCCGAAGTTCCCCTTTAATAACATACTTTTTCCCCCAGTGGTTCTGGAAATTACACCTTCTGGTTGTGCTGTGGAATAAAGTGATTGTGAAGTGATACTGAATGAGCAAGGAATGCACAAGTGAGAGCAATAAAGAAATCATAAAACGGTAACTTGACATTGTATTTAATGGTGGGAGTTGAGCATTACAAAGCAAGAGCAGACATCATTCAGTCATTCACAGATAAAATCCCTGATGAAACAACAATGCATTTTATGGCTTATTACAGCATGCTTTGTGAGCACAGATGATGATTTTTAAAAAAGTTTTCCATCATTTGTTTGGGGCAATTTTCTCAAGGAGATCAAGGTAAAGGTAAATCAGTTATTCTCTGCTGCAAATTGGGGAATAAAATACAGGAAATGCTATTCTGTTGCAACCACCAGGGAACAAAACAGGACAAGTTAACAAATAAAGTGTTTCGATTGCCATTATAAATATATATAGAAACACTGTTTGCAATAAATTGTGTTCCCAGTACTGCAGTGGTGAAATTATTTCTGATAACTTTAATTTCTCCAGTGAACATGCAGTTCCAGTGTGCATCAGTCCTTTTTATTTTAAGAAACATTCCAAGTGAAAATGCTGTAATACAACAGCTTATCCACAATAATAAGCTTTGCGTTAATCAGTGTTGTACATGATTTTGTGACGAATGTGTTGAGTTCAAATGAAAGGCTGTCAACCAATGATTGGGTCAGTTGTTCTCTGAGACCCTCCCACTCAATACGTCAATCAGAAGCTGAAAATGCACGAACAGATAGTAAACATGCCACATACTGTAATCCTGCACTGCTTGGGCTACCTGTGTCTGTTTTCAGTCACTGATTTATAACTATTTGTGGTTATACTGGGAAGTCTGTAGTATTAATGCACTTAGTGTAAGGGACATGGTAGTCAACTTCCTACTTGACTGTCCCCAGAGCTCAGAGGTGTGCAGGTTTTTATGATCATGAAAAGCTTGCAGAATGCAGGAAAGTTAAGGTTGCTAGAATTCTCATAAAACTATATATAATACTATAAACATCTATTGGGAAGTGTCCCTAAGTCTGCTGTAGAATGGAGATTCCTGTTCTTAATGGACAGTTTAGTACTCAATATAAAAACTTAATAAATGTATGGAAAAGACCGGTGGTTGACAGCCACATCACCATGCACTGGAGGTGTTTCAACTGGAGGTGGTGAAAGAGTGTTAACAAATAAATTAGAGAAAAGCTAGCAAATGTATTACATTTCCATAAATCATACCAAATGTCAACAAATTGAATGTGCAGAGGACTCATCCAAACGGTTTCATAAAGTCACGTAATGCGCATACATCAGCATTCTGCTACTAGATTTATAAAATGGCAAACACAGCTTCAGGCTTGATTTCTATGATTTGGTGAAATAATTTCTCACTCTAGTTTTTGGTTTTGTAAACAGTAACATTCAAAGAAGTCCTCACTGACAGCCTGGGCAATGTAAAGATATATAAGTATCAGTAAACTGCAGTGTTTTTTTATCTTTACGTGGTCAGTCAGTCAAAGGCCTGTGTATGAACGGAATCAAATACTGATTCACTCTGTGTATTTGAGGTTGTGTGCTTATGTATGTGTGTGTAAAAGGCCCACTACTCTCACACACCACTACTCCTCTGTTTAAAGCTTTGCCTGTAAACATTTCCAAATATCTTCCTTCTTGTCTTTACATTCCTTACTTGCTCACTGTAGTAACTCATTAATTCAATAAATTAATATATAAATAAACATAATAATAGATAACATAAAATACATTCAAGTACAGCAGTTCCTCAATACTGGAATGCAAGCAGATTCTGCTTTTGCAGCTTGCACCACTCTGCAGTCTGGTTGTTGGCTGACTGGTTTCTGACTGGTTTGTGGGCTACAGTACGTGCACAGCATATAGTCAGTAACCACATGCACTCAACGATCTCAATCTGGCTCCATGATGTTGAGAGTTTCTGTGATCATTTGAGCTGTCATGGAGCTCAGTGACACAGTGTGTCACCTCACTCTCTACTGCACATCCTAAACATGACTGTCCTGGGTCACACTCTGCTCACATCTGCAGTAGCTGTGGGCTCACTGGTGACCTCATGTATCTGAGGTTACATGCCACAGGTTGCTTGAAGGTCATTTTAAAGACTTCAGAGGTTGTGGTCCGCTCATAGTGCAGTGAGGGTGCGGAACAGCTGAGTGAGGCAGAAGACAGAGGCGGTGAGCGCGGTGCACTGTTTGGCTAACAGCTTGGTGCTCAGGTCCTGGCAGCTGCGCTTGCTGCTGGCTCGCTCCGCTGCCAGACAGAAGTCCCTGAATGAGCGGGCCACATCTGCCAGACCTGCAACTGCCTCGGCGTTCCTCCGGTCACACCTATCGCAACCAGAGAACCAGAGGCATATACCTGCCAACTCCACCAGGGTCCGGAAGCTGTCAGCCAGGGAGTGAAGCATTTCCTCTGGGCTCTGCCCAATTCCCACCACCTTCTGGCAGCCTGACATCAGCCGCCGGGCCTCTATCTGGAGCACCCGCTTGTTCTCTGTAAAGTGGGCAGGGCAGGTGTCCCTCGGATGGCGACCTCCATGACCTGCCACAGATTTGTCTGCACCGCTACTTTCCAGGATAGAAAGGAGCTGGTCCACATCTACACGGAGTACTTGGAAACCTGTTGGGGGTTCTGGGTAGCACTGCTGGCCTAGTCGACTGATGGTGTCC